AATAAGAACAGTGGGAGCTACAGAAGGCAGAATATATATGTAGCTTGTCTACATATTGTCTGTCTTGATGTCTACAGAAGAATATATATGTAGCTTGCATGTAGTAGAATGTAGGTAGAATGTAATTATGTGTTAGCTGGTTGTTGATTGCTGGTCTGGAGTTTTTAGTATGTAGCGCCTCGCTGATGTCCAGTCTTCTGCTGTCGTTATATCTGTGGATTATTTCAGTGTTGCTTGTTAAGATGTTTCTGGTGATGATCTGGTTGTCTGTGAAGATTTCATGTTCCTTGATAGAGCCCTGTTGTTTGTGCATTATTAATCCCCTAGAGAGAGACGTCTTGGGTCTTGCCTATATACTGAGATCGTTGGGGCTGACAGTACTCAAGTGGGCATGTGAAGGCATAGATGAAATTCGTCTCTCTTCAGGCACTTTTCTTGGTGTCTGGAGAGTTTTTCATAAGCAAGTTTGCGGTCTACTTGTTTTTGTAGTAAATTGTTAGTTGCATCTTCTGATTGTTGTCTGTGGCGATAACGTTCCTGTCAATAATATAATTTCTCACTCTTTCCTCGGTCTTATAGGTCGTGGAAAAGAAGTTGCTGTAAAACAATGTAATAGGAGGTACAGGTGTTGTGTTGGTTGATTCTTCAGAGGTTGCATGGCGTATCACCTTCCTTTTAAGAACGTCTTAAACTTAATCGTTAGAGAAGCCATTATTTACTAGGATCTGCCATACCCTACAGAGTTCTTCGTCAACCTGCTTCCAACCAGAGCTGTGAGTGAGAGCACGGTCGACGTAAGCGTTGACGACACTCCTCTTGTACCTCTCTGGGCAGTCACTATTGGCATTAAGACACATTCCTATGTTCGTTTTCTTAGCGTATACTGAAGTGTGAAAGCCTCCATTCCTTTCCGCGACTAGTTGTTACATCTAAAAAGGGCAGCTATCCATCAGTCTCCATCTTGTAAGGGGAAACTTATCACCGAACATGCGACATGAGAGACATACGCATGAGACAATGCGACATGAGAGAGAAAGAGACACGGATGAGAAACATATGACATAAGACAGAGACACTGATGAGAAACAGGCCACATAAGACAGAGAGACACGGGTGAGAAACATGCAAGACATGAACGCGTCGGTCGCTGAAAACTTTGAAACAAAAAAACTCAAGTTATCGCGAAACTTTTTTTTATTTTTTTCATTTTACTGTATGAGAAAGTTTTATCACGAGGCGCGGAAATTGAATTTCTTTTTTTGCCGCGTGAGACAAGACGGGCAGAACACTGCCAGGGACCTGAGCTTAATATTCTCTAAGCGGGGTACGAAACCTCTACATCTTTCTTCTACCATGTCGGCTATGCCTATATATATATATATATATATATATATATATATATATATTAAACAGCTTATAGGTCCTTGGTGACTTCACACCACAGGGTTATTATTGTTATAAACAACTTGGTGAAACGTTTCACAGCTTATAAGCTGTTTAATAGATGTCAACAAAGTGGACATGACTGAAGGAAGATGTACAGGTTTCGTCAATAGTTACGAAAGTGCTTCGTGAATGTTGGTGCTGCCAGCCTGGGTCTGTGGGAAGTATAAGGGCCTCACAACCTCTGCACCAGGCTGTTTGACTTCAATCAAAGTATTGCAATGTTGTGTGTTTCCTCTATGATGTCTCAGTGGTTGATGGCCCACAAGTGCTGGGGGGGGGGGGGTGCTACCCATCTCTGGGACATGGGTTACTGACCCCCCCTCAACTCTGGGACATGGGTTACTGCCCCCCCTCAACTCTGGGACATGGGTTACTGCCCCCCCCCCTCAACTCTGGGACATGGGTTACTGTCCCCCCTCCCCCTCCAACTCTGGGACATGGGTTACTGCCCACCCCCCTCCAACTCTGGGACATGGGTTACTGCCCCCCCCCTCAACTCTGGGACATGGGTTACTGTCCCCCCTCCCCCTCCAACTCTGGGACATGGGTTACTGCCCCCCCCCTCAACTCTGGGACATGGGTTACTGCCCCCCCCCCTCAACTCTGGGACATGGGTTACTGCCCCCCCTCCAACTGTGGGACGTGGGTTACTGCCCACCCCCCCTCCAACTCTGGGATATGGGTTACTGCCCACCCCCCTCCAACTGTGGGACGTGGGTTACTGCCCACCCCCCCTTCAACTCTGGGACATGGGTTACTGCCCACCCCCCTCCAACTCTGGGACATGGGTTACTGCCCCCCCCTCAACTCTGGGACATGGGTTACTGTCCCCCCTCCCCCTCCAACTCTGGGACATGGGTTACTGCCCCCCCCCCTCAACTCTGGGACATCGGTTACTGCCCCCCCCCTCAACTCTGGGACATGGGTTACTGCCCCCCCTCAACTCTGGGACATGGGTTACTGCCCACCCCCCTCCAACTGTGGGACGTGGGTTACTGCCCACCCCCCCTCCAACTCTGGGATATGGGTTACTGCCCACCCCCCTCCAACTGTGGGACGTGGGTTACTGCCCACCCCCCCTCCAACTCTGGGGTATGGGTTACTGCCCCCCCCCCTCCAACTGTGGGACGTGGGTTACTGCCCCCCCCCAACTCTGGGACATGGGTTACTGCCCCCCCCCAGTCTGGGACATGGGTTACTGCCCCCCCCAGTCTGGGACATAGGTTACTGCCCCCCATCCCCCTCAGCTCTGGGACATGGATTACTGACTGTCTATCTGTCTGCCCTTAATAGCTTGTTAAACTTGTCCTCTGGTCGCAATAGCCAGGGGAACTGGGTGAAGCTTAGCTTTTGGTCGTAACAGCTGGGTAAAGCTTGTACAGCTGTGTAAGTCGAACTTATATCTTTATACAATAGTACTTGTGAGGCCAGCTGTCATTGGCTCTTACGAGATCAGCTGCTACTGGTCCAGACGAGACCAGCTGCTACTGGTCCAGACGAGACCAGCTGCTACTGGTCCAGACGAGACCAACTGCCATTAGACCATACGAGGCCAATAGCAGCTGGCCTGAAATTGAACTGAAAGAGGCCAATGCCTGTTTCAACTCTTCCTCCGTGGTCTGACACTGTCACGTTTTTTATCACGTGTTAATTTTCGTGATTTACACACACACACACACACACACACACACACACACACACACACACACACACACACACACACACACACACACACACACACACACACACACACACACACACACACCACACACACACACCACACACACACACACACACACACACACACACACACACACACACACACACACACACAAGGCTCGTGTGGTGGCCGCTTAAGTAAGGTGAGCGGAGAGTGGTGCGGTGCAGTGTCTGGGAGCGTGAGGAGGTCTCCAGGGAGCACAGCCTTCACTGTGGGAGGAGGGTGGCGTCCTGTGAGCTCTGTGGGGGGGGGGGTGTCTGGCCCCTCATCTGGGAGGTGGGGGGGGGGTGACGCTGCTGGGTGGGGGCAGAGGGGGGTGATGGGTGGGGAGGGGTGACAGTACATAATATGTGTCACATTCAAGAAATATTTATATATATATTTTATTTATATATACAAGAGTTCTTACATACTCGTAGAGCCACTAGTACACAGCGTTTCTGGCAGGTCCTTAATCTTATTTTTTCCCCCGGAATACGACCCGCCCAATCGTTTAACAACCAGGTACCCATTCACTGCTGGGTGAACAGGGGCGTACAGTTAAGGATTGGCGCCCAGTTAATCCTCCCCGGCCAGGATACGAACCCAGGCAAATCACTCGCGAAGCGCCGGGCGAGTACGAACTACACAAGCAGTGTTATTATTGTTAAAATGACTATAAATGTGTACTGAGCTTCATGTTAGGTGTTGTGTGAACTTTGGGTAATAATATAGGTCAATAATATGGCCCGGGGTCGAGCTGTGACGTCATATCTGTCAACACGACTGTACAGGTCACGTGACCTGATCCGGCAGCTTGGGGGGGGGGGGACCTGTGATGCTGGAGGTCAGCGACCGGAAGTGGTCCGCGGAACTTCATCTGACTGAGGTTGAAGGTCAGACCTCTGTGGTGTTGTGCTGATGTGAGTCTTGGTCTATGTGAAGCCCCGTAAGCAAGGCCAGACCCAGGCCTTGAACATGTAGTGTGGTCTCCCCTTGGGGCTAAGTGAACTGAAGGTCCACTCTTATTCTGACTTGGTCGACGGCAAGAAGATTTGTGTTGAGTGTTGACGACAAGTTGAAAGTGCACTCTAATGAGCAAGAAATTAATTCCCCACATGTGTGTGTGACAGTGATTGATCACTGTAGATCCTGGGGAGCAGCGTGCGTGATTGACAGTGAGTCTCTCACTCCCTGCACGCCGTCTCAGCACACTCATATTTACTTATACACATATAACAATATGTATTACATATACATATGTGTGTGCTCACACCTCGAGGTCTGTGCTCACACACACACAACACACACACAACACCTCCGGTAGGTGTTAACAGCCGTCTATCACGGTACTGAGAAGTGAGAGAATGTGAGGCTGAGGGGAGTGAGGTGTGAGGGGCAGTGAGGAGCTGGGGTTAGTGCAGACGGAGGGAGACAGTCATGTCTGCGTCTCACACCCAGACATAACACGCAGACAATCTTGCGCGAAATTAAAGTGGAGTTTTTCTTGAGAAAAAATAGTAATTTCTGAGAAGCAAGATATAGTTTACAGGACATAAATTCGTATTCCCGGAAAACAGGAAAAGTTTTAACAAGGCAATGAAGTTGGGGATTATGAACACAAGGTAAACAGCGAACGGAAAGAAAGTATTGAACAAAGGAAGAGAATAAGTGAAAATAAATCAGAGATGAGAAAAATCCGAGAAACCTGGAAAAGTTAGAGACAACAGAAATGAGAAAATTCGATTAATGATGGAAAATGTAATTAAAGCAATATGGCAGAACAGATGAGAGTAATGGGATTATGGAGAAGACGAAGACGAGGAATGGGTGAGAGTAATGGAGGAAGGAGAGCATGCTAGCGGTACCAAGGAAATATCTGCACAAGATTATATTCAGAGAAAGTGTTCCATGCCAGAAAGTTGTGCAATGTAGCCGCAGCTGGAAGGTCCTGGACGCTATCCAGGCTGCGATGGTCGCCCTTCCACGCTCCTGGAAGGTCCTGGACGCTATCCAGGCTGCGATGGTCGCCCCTCCACGCTCCTGGAAGGTCCTGGACGCTATCCAGGTTGCGATGGTCGCCCCTCCACGCTCCTGGAAGGTCCTGGACGCTACCCAGGCTTCGATGGTCGCCCCTCCACGCTCCTGGAAGGTCCTGGACGCTATCCAGGCTGCGATGGTCGCCCTTCCACGCTCCTGGAAGGTCCTGGACGCTATCCAGGTTGCGATGGTCGCCCCTCCACGCTCCTGGAAGGTCCTGGACGCTATCCAGGTTGCGATGGTCGCCCCTCCACGCTCCTGGAAGGTCCTGGACGCTATCCAGGTTGCGATGGTCGCCCCTCCACGCTCCTGGAAGGTCCTGGACGCTATCCAGGTTGCGATGGTCGCCCCTCCACGCTCCTGGAAGGTCCTGGACGCTATCCAGGCTACGATGGTCGCCCCTCCACGCTCCTGGAAGGTCCTGGACGCTATCCAGGTTGCGATGGTCGCCCCTCCACGCTCCTGGAAGGTCCTGGACGCTATCCAGGCTACGATGGTCGCCCCTCCACGCTCCTGGAAGGTCCTGGACGCTATCCAGGTTGCGATGGTCGCCCCTCCACGCTCCTGGAATCTGCAATGACTCAACTCCTGGAAAGTTTAACATTCTTGAAGCTTTATGAAACCGTTCTAAAGTTTCTGGCTGTTGAAGTTCTTGAGAGGTGTTAAGTCTATGAAGTTCCTGTAACCTGTTGAGTGATAGAGTTCCTATTTGTCTTGTTTGAATTTGGCCTCTTGACCGCCTGTATACTCCAGCTTGAACACTAAATCAGTAGACTAAATGAACCTCCTGGTTTACTGAACAACAAATTGTCTTCAGGAACTCTGCCTTTTGCGATTTTTTCCCGAAAACATTATGTTTAATATATCCATCAGTCTGGAGCTCGATCAACTATATAGCGATTATATATATAATTTTCCAGAGTACACAGGTTGCGTGTTAGCAACCTGTGTATTCGACGGGTTACACAGGTTGCGTGTGGCTGTTGTGTACACTGGGGATCAAATGAGCTCCCAAGAACCAATCCGACACAAAGGTGTTAACCATATGCAGATGAGGAGTCACAATAACGAGGCTGAAAAATGTTGACAGACCACACACTAGAAAGTGAAGAGACGACGACGTTTCGGTCCGTCCTGAACCATTCTCAAGTCGATTAATGTGATAATGGTCTTGATAATCGATTTGATAATGGTCCAGGACGGACCGAAACGTCGTCGTCGCTTCCTTTTCTAGTTTGTGGTCTGGTCAACAATGGTGTTAACATTACCATCAAGCTCCACGCTGATTGGCCACTGCTTCACCCATTGGCCAATCATAGCTCGTCATATCGTCACCTTTCTCCATTGAGGTGAAGGTGACGATATGTAGGCTATATATATAGATATGTAGAGGATCCAGTAGACTAGTGACACTAGTAAGGCTCGGCCGTCCATGGCTTCCCCCCACCCTCCTCCTGTCTTCACTATTCCCGTCCAAGAGGCCAGACCCTTGCCACTGTCCCACAGTCCGGCCTTTGTCACCGTTCCACAGTCCGGCCTTTGTCACCGTTCCACAGTCCGGCCTTTGTCACCGTTCCACAGCCAGACCGTTGCACAAGCAGCTGCACCTGTTGCTAAGTCCGCCTGGATTAATTCCAAGACTGAGACACAAACTGTTGCTTATGTTAATGCTGCAGCAACTTAGTTCTGTGGCCAGGGCGGCAGCTGTGTCAGTGTGGCCAGGGCGGCAGCTGTGTCAGTGTGGCCAGGGAGGCAGCTGTGTCAGTGTGGCCAGGGCGGCAGCTGTGTCAGTGTGGCCAGGGCGGCAGCTGTGTCAGTGTGGCCAGGGCGGCAGCTGCTGTGTCAGTGTGGCCAGGACAGCTGCTGTGTCAGTGTGGCCAGGGCGGCAGCTGCTGTGTCAGTGTGGCCAGGGCGGCAGCTGCTGTGTCAGTGTGGCCAGGGTGGCAGCTGCTGTGTCAATGTGGCCAGGGCGGCAGCTGCTGTGTCAGTGTGGCCAGGGCAGCTGCTGTGTCAGTGTGGCCAGGGCGGCAGCTGCTGTGTCAGTGTGGCCAGGGCGGCAGCTGCTGTGTCAGTGTGGCCAGGGCGGCAGCTGCTGTGTCAGTGTGGCCAGGGCGGCAGCTGCTGTGTCAGTGTGGCCAGGGCGGCAGCTGCTGTGTCAGTGTGGCCAGTGTGGCCAGGGCGGCAGCTGCTGTGTCAGTGTGGCCAGGACAGCTGCTGTGTCAGTGTGGCCAGGGCGGCAGCTGCTGTGTCAGTGTGGCCAGGGCGGCAGCTGCTGTGTCAGTGTGGCCAGGGTGGCAGCTCCTGTGTCAGAGTGGCCAGGGCGGCAGCTGCTGTGTCAGTGTGGCCAGGGCAGCTGCTGTGTCAGTGTGGCCAGGGCGGCAGCTGCTGTGTCAGTGTGGCCAGGGTGGCAGCTCCTGTGTCAGAGTGGCCAGGGCGGCAGCTGCTGTGTCAGTGTGGCCAGGGCAGCTGCTGTGTCAGTGTGGCCAGGGCGGCAGCTGCTGTGTCAGTGTGGCCAGGGCAGCTGCTGTGTCAGTGTGGCCAGGGCGGCAGCTGCTGTGTCAGTGTGGCCAGGGCGGCAGCTGCTGTATCAGTGTGGCCAGGGCGGCAGCTGCTGTGTCAGTGTGGCCAGGGTGGCAGCAGCTGTGTCAGTGTGGCCAGGGCGGCAGCTGCTGTGTCAGTGTGGCCAGGGCAGCTGCTGTGTCAGTGTGGCCAGGACGGCAGCTGCTGTGTCAGTGTGGCCAGGGTGGCAGCTGTGTCAGTGTGGCCAGGGCGGCAGCTGTGTCAGTGTGGCCAGGACGGCAGCTGTGTCAGTGTGGCCAGGGCGGCAGCTGTGTCAGTGTGGCCAGGGTGGCAGCTGCTGTGTCAGTGTGGCCAGGGTGGCAGCTGTGTCAGTGTGGCCAGGACGGCAGCTGCTGTGTCAGTGTGGCCAGGACGGCAGCTGTGTCAGTGTGGCCAGGGTGGCAGCTGCAGTGTCAGTGTGGCCAGGGTGGCAGCTGTGTCAGTGTGGCCAGGACGGCAGCTGTGTCAGTGTGGCCAGGGCGGCAGCTGTGTCAGTGTGGCCAGGACGGCGGCAGCTGTGTCAGTGTGGCCAGGGTGGCAGCTGTGTCAGTGTGGCCAGGGCGGCAGCTGTGTCAGTGTGGCCAGGGTGGCAGCTGTGTCAGTGTGGCCAGGGCAGCTGCTGTGTCAGTGTGGCCAGGGCGGCAGCTGTGTCAGTGTGGCCAGGGTGGCAGCTGTGTCAGTGTGGCCAGGGTGGCAGCTGTGTCAGTGTGGCCAGGGTGGCAGCTGCTGTGTCAGTGTGGCTAGGGCGGCAGCTGTGTCAGTGTGGCCAGGGTGGCAGCTGTGTCAGTGTGGCCAGGGCGGCAGCTGTGTCAGTGTGGCCAGGGTGGCAGCTGTGTCAGTGTGGCCAGGGCAGCTGCTGTGTCAGTGTGGCCAGGGCGGCAGCTGTGTCAGTGTGGCCAGGGTGGCAGCTGTGTCAGTGTGGCCAGGGTGGCAGCTGTGTCAGTGTGGCCAGGGTGGCAGCTGCTGTGTCAGTGTGGCTAGGGCGGCAGCTGTGTCAGTGTGGCCAGGGTGGCAGCTGTGTCAGTGTGGCCAGGGTGGCAGCTGTGTCAGTGTGGCCAGGGTGGCAGCTGTGTCAGTGTGGCCAGGGTGGCAGCTGTGTCAGTGTGGCCACGGTGGCAGCTGTGTCAGTGTGGCCAGGGCGGCAGCTGTGTCAGTGTGGCCAGGGTGGCAGCTGTGTCAGTGTGGCCAGGGCGGCAGCTGTGTCAGTGTGGCCAGGGCGGCAGCTGTGTCAGTGTGGCCAGGGCGGCAGCTGTGTCAGTGTGGCCAGGGCGGCAGCTGCTGTGTCAGTGTGGCCAGGGCGGCAGCTGTGGCAGTGTGGCCAGGGCGGCAGCTGTGTCAGTGTGGCCAGGGCGGCAGCTGTGTCAGTGTGGCCAGGGCGGCAGCTGTGTCAGTGTGGCCAGGGCGGCAGCTGTGTCAGTGTGGCCAGGGCGGCAGCTGTGTAAGTGTGGCCAGGGTGGCAGCTGTGTCAGTGTGGCCAGGGCGGCAGCTGTGTCAGTGTGGCCAGGGTGGCAGCTTTGTCAGTGTGGCCAGGGCGGCAGCTGTGTCAGTGTGGCCAGGGCGGCAGCTGTGTCAGTGTGGCCAGGGTGGCAGCTGTGTAAGTGTGGCCAGGGTGGCAGCTGTGTCAGTGTGGCCAGGGCGGCAGCTGTGTCAGTGTGGCCAGGGTGGCAGCTGCTGTGTCAGTGTGGCCAGGGCGGCAGCTGTGTCAGTGTGGCCAGGACGGCAGCTGTGTCAGTGTGGCCAGGGTGGCAGCTGTGTCAGTGTGGCCAGGACGGCAGCTGTGTCAGTGTGGCCAGGACGGCAGCTGCTGTGTCAGTGTGGCCAGGACGGCAGCTGCTGTGTCAGTGTGGCCAGGGCGGCAGCTGTGTCAGTGTGGCCAGGGTGGCAGCTGTGTCAGTGTGGCCAGGGCGGCAGCTGTGTCAGTGTGGCCAGGGCGGCAGCTGTGTCAGTGTGGCCAGGGCGGCAGCTGTGTAAGTGTGGCCAGGGTGGCAGCTGTGTCAGTGTGGCCAGGGCGGCAGCTGTGTCAGTGTGGCCAGGACGGCAGCTGTGTCAGTGTGGCCAGGGTGGCAGCTGCTGTGTCAGTGTGGCCAGGGCGGCAACTGTGTCAGTGTGGCCAGGGTGGCAGCTGTGTCAGTGTGGCCAGGGTGGCAGCTGTGTCAGTGTGGCCAGGGTGGCAGCTGCCACCCGGTCACTGGTTCCATACATCGATCAACGTCTTTGATGACTTTATAAATATCGACTTTGGTAATTAGGTTGCATACTCGACCAAGACATGTACTTGACCAAGACATGTACTCGACCAAGACATATACTCGACCAAGACATGTACTCGACCAAGACATGTACTCGACCAAGACATGTACTCGATCAAGACATGTACTTCACCAAGACATGTACTTGACCAAGACATGTACTCGACCAAGACATGTACTCGACCAAGACATGTACTCGACCAAGACATGTACTCGACCAAGACATGTACTCGACCAAGACATGTACTTGACCAAGACATGTACTCGACCAAGACATGTACTCGACCAAGACATGTACTCGACCAAGACATGTACTCGACCAAGACATGTACTTGACCAAGACATGTACTCGACCAAGACATGTACTCGACCAAGACACTCACTCGACCAGGACATGTACTCGACCAAGACATGTACTTGACCAAGACATGTACTCGACCAAGACATGTACTCGACCAAGACACTCACTCGACCAGGACATGTACTCGACCAGGGACAAAGGTTGACAAGGGGTGCACAAGAGCGGGCCGAGGCAACACGCCAGACGTAAACACCACATCAACACGTAAATAAGCTTGGAGGGATTTACACCTTTGTTTACAGTGTTGGAGGGTGAGGCTCCGGATGGTCCGGTGGTCTGGAGGGTCCTGTGGTCTGGGGAGTCCTGTGGTCAGGAGGGTCCAGTGGTCTGGTGGGTCCTGTGGTCTGGAGGGTCCTGTGGTCTGGTGGGTCCTGTGGTCTGGTGGGTCCTGTGGTCTGGTGGGTCCTGTGG